TACAAAGGTAAGTGAATATAGCGTTTTATGCATAGAAATTACAAGTTTCCCTTGTACTCAATACAACTGATGATCTCTAAAGCAGTTTAAAATGTCCAATATTAAAGTTATTATTTCTCCATTTTTCCCCAGATAATTTACAATTATTTTTAAGGGATGTTTCCATTAAAATAGCCAAAAAGTTTTAAGTCATTTTGTATAATTGTTTGTGCATTATTAAATAAATGAAATATGCACGATTCTGTCTGTGATATTGCAAATTAAATTATTCACATTCAATTCACATGTCAGAAGCAGATCTATTTTAATCACACATGTATTATGCACAACTGTACAGTATTGCATTGATTTATTTTGGCAAAGTTGTGATCATGAGATTTCTGAAATGTTAAATGAATACACAATGATCATACAAATAAAATCAAAGCACACAAAGGTCAGTGAATATAGTGGTTTCTGCATTTTCCATGTATAAAATACACTTGATGAGCTCTAAAGCAGTTTAAAGGCGTATAAACACAAGGACAATTTTACTGAATTATATTAAAGTTCCTAAAATGTGCTCTCAGTAGAAACATCGAAACAAACTGTTATTTAGTCTAAAATATACATTTTGTAGATTAAAACCTGAAAAAAGATCAGCTTATATTTACATACGTTTCTTTATGTTTATTTTTGTGCTGTCAAAAGATTCATCTTGATTAATCACATCCAAAGTAAAAGCTTCAATTTACATACAGTTTCACATGTGTACTGTGCACATTTAATTTGTATGTACATACAAACATATATGTATATATATTTTAAAATTATAAATTTATATTTTAAAATTAAAGATTGGTATCTTATAATTATTATTTATAAATATATTTGTAAATATTTTGTTTTAGAATTTTTTTTTGTATTTTATATTTATTTTTCAACACAGGCTCATTCTGCAAACGTAGCCCTGTAAACTTTTTTGGAGATCATGAATTATGTAGCCAGACGTACATATGGCTGCATTTTGTCTTTTAAATGAATGCTACGGGGCGGTATAACGGCATTTCTTTTTACACCAACCAGCTGATCGCTTACTTCCGTATGGCTTTCCCACTTACCAGTTTGTCCAGTGGCTCGCCGCCTACGTTGGTGGACTTGAGACACAGAGAGTTGGATGAAGATCAGTTCCAGAAAGCAGGTAAAACAAAAACAGAAGCCAATAAATAAAATAAACAAGTGAATAACAGGGTGAGAATGAGGTAAAATCTGAAAACGTGGTCAAAATCAGACGAGGGCTTTTCTTTTTCTGGGTTGCTTTTGAAAACACTGTTGGTTGGGTTTAGGGAAGGAGGAGGATGGGTCAGTCGATTGGTCAATTAATCGACAGCGGCCTCTGGTGGATTCACGAAAACTGCAAAAAACGTAGCTCCTGGGATGTACACATGGTGCTCTCCAGAAATGTATTTAGGGGTACGTTTTCAGAATGAGCCTGAGTTCATATATATATATATATATATATATATATATATATATATATATATATATATATATATATATATATATATATATATGCACAGTTGAAGTCAGAATTATTAGCCCCCCTGTATTGTTAGCACCCCTGTTTATTTTTTCCACAATTTCTGTTTAATGGAGGGAGGATTGTTTCAGCACATTTCTAATCATAATAGTTTTAATAACTTATTTCTAGTAACTGATTTATTTTCTCTTTGTCATGATGACAGTAAATAATATTTTACTTGATTTTTTTCAAGACACTTCTATACAGCTTAAAGTGACATTAGAAGGCTTCACTAGGGTACCTAGGGTAATTAGACAAGTTATTGTATAAGGATGGTTTGTTCTGTAGACTATCAAAAAAAAAATTAGCTTAAAGGGGCTAATAATTTAGTCCCAAAAATGGCTTTAAAACTGCTTTTATTCTTCCCAAAATAAAACAAATAGGACTTTCTCCAGAAGAAAAAATATTATCAGAGATACTGTGAAAATGTCCTTGCTCTATTAAACACTATTTGGGAAATATTTAAAAAAGGGAAAAAAAATCAAAAGGGGGCGAATAATTCTGACTTCAACTATATATATATATATATACACACACACATTATGCAAATACAGAAGTGTATTTTAAATGTGATTAATCTTGCAGCACTTGTTTATTTATATATAAAAGTTACGTTCCAACAAACACTTTAAGTTAAGAAAACCCCAGAAAATCTGCTAAAAAACCAGGAATTTCCTTAAATTAGTCGTGAATGACAATCGATTATATCATTAGACATTTTTTATTTTATGAGAAGAGTTTTAACAGTGAGTTTGATGCAGTTCTAATAAGAAATGTGTATATTATTGTGTATTAAAAACACAGAAATAAAGTGCCTGTAGAGGAGCAAATGCACTGAGTTAAACAATAAAATGTATGCAAAGGTATGACAGAATCCTCTAAAGCAGTGTAGAAATATACAGAGTTTCTATTTTTAAAAGTATATTACAGATTTCTATTTTCCAGAGGAGTTTACGATGCATTATTCCACAGCCCTGAATGAAATCTCACCTAAAATGTATGAATATAAAGATCTACAAATAACCAGGCTGTATTATTTGGTGGTGCAGCTGTCGTAAATCCACTTTTGTGTAAGCTGTCCTCATGTTATACTGAAGTAAATAAGCATATTTTCTGAATGACCAGGTCACGGTTCTGTGGGTAATGATGATGTTTTCTGGGTCAGAACTCCAGCTCATGTTTTGGCATTCATCTGTAGTCACGTTTACACTACAAATGTGTGCAAAACTTCAGTGATATTCCCTAAGTGTCGATTACATAACATGCAAAAGGATGGCGTTTAAATGTTATTACATGGCACTTGGGAATACTTGATGCTGGTGTGCCCATCATGACATACCAAGATAAGTTATTCACCCATAACAACTAATAACACAGGTTATTACCAATCATCTTGACTATTAATAACAAAAGCATTGATGAGCCGATATCGGTATTGTGCATCCCAAATTTATACATTCATTTTCTTTTCGGCTTGGTCCCTTTATTAATCTGGGGTCGCCACAGCGGAATGAACCGCCAACTTATCCAGCATATATTTTACACAGTGAATGCACTTCCGATGGCGACGCAGTGGCACAGTAGGTAGTGCTGTCGCCTCACAGCAAGAAGGTCGCTGGTTCTAGCCTCGGCTCAGTTGGCGTTTCTGTGTAGAGTCTGCAAGTTCCCTGTGTTGGCGTGGGTTTCCTCCGGGTGCTCCGGTTTCCCCCACAGTCCAAACACATGCGGTACAGGGGAATTGGGTAAGCTAAATTGTCCGTAGTGTATGAGTGTGAATGAGTGTGTGTGGATGTTTCCCAGAGAAGGGTTGCGGCTAGAAGGGCATCCGCTGTGTAAAAATGTGCTGGATAAGTTGGCGGTTCATTCCGCTGTGGCGACCTTGGATTAATAAAAGGGACTAAGCCGACAAGAAAATGAATGAATGAATGCACTTCTAGCCACAACACACACACACACACACACATACGTGTTTTGCTATACTTGTGAGGGCCATGACCCAGTAGCATGCTGTGAGGACCCCCCTTTCTGTTAATGCTAGGAAAATAAAAAAAATAGTAGTGCCACTAGAGGGGAGCAGACAAACAGAATATCACTTTAAATCTTCAAAAACACCATGTTCACAAAAGTGGTGAGGTCAGCTGGGTGTTGTGAGGACCGGACTGTTACTAGGCAGATTTCAGTTCTCCGGTTATGGGTAGCCATTTTTAAAAGTGATCTGAGAAGCTGATTTTAGTCCAAATAACTCTTTTAACCACTGAATTAATTAGTTTGACTATAATTTAATTACTCAAACAGTTCAAAATGCTGATACATTTAGCTAATAACCTGCTGATTTTATGATTGGTTAATACACAGTCTCGACTAAGGAAACTCGTGCTATATCACAACATGGCCATGTCATTTGGTCGGTCATGGTCATTAACACTAATTTCTATTTTTGTGTCCGTGAACACGAACCCTGCCAACATTTGGTCGATTCAAGAAATGAACTTACTATAATTAGTGGTGAAACGGATCGAGGTTGATTCCATTCACACAGATCTTTCTCTACCGAATGCACGTGAGCTGCGGGTGAACTGTAAATTCCTTTATCATAGAGGAATGATGTAAAAGAGTAAAAGTGCAAATGACGAATCCATGCGCGCCGCAGAGCTTCAGGAATATGGACTCACTATAAACTGATGATGATTGACTCTAGTCAAATGCATTAGTGAGTCATGATAACACTTGCTCTATGCTACCACCTTATAAAGCAGGCTAATAATAATAATACTTGTTATATATATATATATATATATATATATATATATATATATATATATATATATATGTATATTTTTTTTTACAGTAGACATTGTTTATAATGCATGTTGCATGACAGTCTAGATAATAAATAACGGTGTTTAAAAACAATATTTGGTTACTCTATTTTATGGTGTCCTTGTTACAGTGTTATTATACATTTACATACTGAGTGATATTAACTACATGCACTTACTATATTGTTAGGATTGTAGTTGGCCTACATGTAACAAGGACACCTTAAAATAAAGTGTTAACCAATATTAGTTTGTTAGTACGTTGATTTTCAGGGTATTTTCATAACTAAATGTGTATAAAATTCTCTATTCTGCTTGCATTATGATAGAGAATATTATCTGAAATAAAATCTGTTATATGAGCCGCACTGAGTTTAAAAAAAGTTGCACAACTGAAGAGTTTACAAAATCACAGAAAACAAAAGAAAAAAAAAACTGCAGTTAAGTTTACGCTGATGATAAATACAACTCTTACCACAGACATGGTCTTGGTCAGTTTTTTTTTTTTAGTTTTAGCAGTTGAGAAAACTATTCACTTTGATATAAAGTATTGAGAAACAAAACCTGTTATTTGACAACCACCACAACACAAATCCAAAATTAGAAATCAGAGAAGATGGTAATTTATAACAAAAGTTTTATTTAAATTAACAAAGACACAATGCCTGTCAAAAAGAGTTCACAAGCCCAACATCTAACAGTGTAGTCAGCTCTAAAGTACACAGCTGGACAAGGTAACAAAACTAAAGGAAGAAAAAAAAAAAAAAAAACCTTTCGTTTGTTGTGCAGAATAGTCAGAAAATCAAAATGAATTTAAGAGGGAAAGAGGATAGATCAAGGTTAGTTTACACAAAAACTTCTTTTAAGAACAAAGTTAATCAATCAGTTTCTTCTTTTTTGATTGTATTGTATTGTGAACATGATTTTTGACATCTCTCCAGCCCCTGGTATGAAGCACTGGTTCTTTCTCTAGGCACTTCAAACATTTGTCTTTCCCAGGAACTTTCAATAGTGTTATGCAGGTCCCAAGCTGTCGCCAAACCGCTTTTTTTTCAGCATCACTCCAGGGCCTTTTCTGCACGTTCTGCCTGGAAGAACCTACAAAAAAAAAAGAAAAGCACATGATGGCATCAGTCATTAGTAAACATGTATATTAAGCAATTATGACTTTGCTTGAGTGGTAACAACAATAAAAGCACTATGTATAAATCTATTATAGTCCTTGTGTATAGCATTATTTTACATGTGCACTGAACAACACCTAAATTGAAGAATGAAGTAATATAGTAGTAGTAGCAGCAGTAATATTAGTGGAGGCAGTGGTAGGAGATTTAGCATCAGTAGCAGAAGCTTTCGTAGCTTTTAGAAAATTGTGACTGTAGTAAAAATGACAGACAATCATTTCAATTTCTATGAGGGTTCATGTTTTTGCTTTGAGCATATAATTCAAATATTGATGTAGTACACTGTCAAAATCATAGGGATCCTTAAACTAATCCATAAAATTGAGAGATCACTGATAAAGACATTTGTAGTCAATTAATGGCATTATCAATTAGTTGGAGAGTGACAAAATAATTCAAAATGCTGAAGAGTTCAGATAATGATCTACATAAGAATGTGAGCTGTCAATAAAACATTAAAAAGAGTCGAGATCAACCAGAATGAGGATAAAGTGTGCATCCTAGGGACTTTAAAAGGAGTTAAAAAGATCACCTAAAATGTAACCGGAACCTTAGTTATTCAAAACTGAGCTTGTGTGATTAGTGGTAGCAAATCTTACCATTTCTTTCAGTCTTAGACGTTCTGCTTTCTTTGGTCTTTGTGTGCAAGTCAGTGCCTTCTGGGTGGGGGAAAAAAAAAAAATAAAAAAATAAAGGAGACAGCTCATGATATATAAACACTAAAAAGTGTAAAAATTGAAAGTCTATTAAACTGCAAACCATCCGGGTGGGAATCATACGCCTCCTCATGCTCATGTCTAAATTTAAGGCTTCTGGAGAACTCTGTAACACAGGAAAATTAACATCAGATTATCAGTTATATCCTTATTAGGGATGTCCAGATCAGATCACGTGGTTTCAGACTCTATAAGAATCAGACGTTATCTCCCGATCAGGACTCCACTTCTACACTTCTTTCTTGACTTCACAGAAACAGCAAGGCGTGTGGCATGACATCACGGTGTTGCAGAGACGCTAGGGGTAAATGTCGGCAAGTAGAACACTGAAGCAGCTTGAAGCGGAAGGCGCGAGTATGACCATTTCTTAATACGCTTCCTTCAGTGATCTATTGTCCTTGTGTCCTAGTCATCAACTGCCAAAGTTCAGTTCCAAAACTCAAGACTGCAAGAACAAAGAATGCATGAAAGTTCCTGGATGTGTTGTTGATAGAGGGTGCATCGATGCAAACTTGAGCTAAACTCGCAAGAAGGTCCAGAAGTCATAAAAATAAACTTGTGGGAAGCGCAGCAATTTATATCGGTTTAATATTAAAGTTCAGAGATTTATCTCAGGAGTTTCCCTAAATAAGACGGTCAAAGTAAACATTAGCACGAAAATCTTAAAAGGCAAAAACGCATTAAGGGAGCTTGTTTGCTGAAATTCATATTAAAATTAGTGTTGTGTATTGTGCAAAGTATATTTGTAAGGTTTTTGTTTATGTAATATATATTTAAATAGGGGGACAACAATAAATCCCTGCATGAATGCTGTAATGTTAAAATAATTTCCCGTTAATAATGTGTGATGGTCATGTGACCATCAGGAACACAGCATCTCATTTTTTCACAGAATGCATTCTCTGTTCTCACGGTCTCCTGAGTCCAAAAGTGAAGAATTGATGTTATTTATTACTTGAGTGTTCAAGCTACCTCAAAGAAATGCTCTGTATATTAACAGAGTTGTAGAATGTTAAAATAAGGTGAATTAAATAAAAATAAGAAACATCGTAGATCCGTTTCTTCGCTCTACTTTTTTTTTTTTTAATGCATTATAAAATTGTCAGATCAGGTTTCGGTAGATACTCAAATCAAATGACTGACTCGAGCGCAAAAACAAACCTGATTGGGACATCCCTAATCTGTATAGAAAAAAGGTCATCAATTATCTGAATATCTACATAGCTAACAATCTTACCATTTCTTTCAGTTTTAGACGTTCTGTTTTCTGTGGTCTTTGTGTGCGAGTCAGGGCTTTCTGGGAAAAGAAAAGACAGCTCATGATATACAAACTAAAAACTGACTTAGACTTTCGGGCTTATAGAGTTCAGTAATTTATAAGCGGTATATAATCAAACTGCAAACCATCCGGGTTGGAATCATACGCCTCCTCATGCTCACGTCTACATTTCAGGCTTCTGGAGAACTCTGTAACACAGGAAAATTATCAGATTATCATAAGTTATATCTGTATAGAAAAAGAATCAATTTCATCAATTATCTGAATAACTACATGCAGTGCGTCCGGAAAGAATTGACGTTTTTGTCACAGTCTTATTCTAAAATAGATGAACTTCATTGATTTCCTCAACATTCACAATCCCCCATAATGACAATGTGAAAAAAATAGATTTTGAAATTGTTGTAAATTACAAATAAAAAACAAAAATGTACATCCGTATTCACAGCCTTTGCTCAATGTTTTGTTGATGCATGTTTGGCAGCGATTACAACCTCAAGTCTTCTTGAATATGATGCCACAAGCTCTGCACAGCTGTCTTTGGGAATTGTTGCCCATTCCTTTTTGCAGGACCTTTAAAGCTCTATCAGGTTGGATGGGAAGCAACGGTGTACAGGCATTTTTAGATCTCTCCTGAGATGTTCAAGAAGATTTGGGTCTGGGCTCTGGCTGGGCAACTCAAGGACATTCACCGAGTTGTTGTTGTGCCGCTGCATTGATATGTTGGCAGTGTGCTTTGGGTCATTGTCCTGCTGGAAGATGAAGCGTCGCCCCAGTCTGAGGTCAAGAGCACTCTTGTGCAGGTCTTCATTCAGGATGTCTCTGTACATCGCTGCATTCATCTTTCCCTCTATCCTGACTAGTCTTCCAGTTCCTGCTGCTGAAACACATCCCCACAGCATGATGCCAACACCACCATGCTCTACTGTAGGGATGCTGTTAGCCTGCTGATGAGCGCTGCCTGCTGTTCTCCAAACGTAACGCCTGGCGTTCACTCCAAACAGTTCAGTTTGAGTCTCAGAGCAGAGAGTTTAGTTTCTGATGCTCTGAGAGTCCTTCACATGCCTTCAGGCAAACTCTAGGCGGGGAGTGTCTTCCGTCGGGCCGCTCTACCATATAGATGCCTGATTGGTGGATTGCTGCACAGATGGTTGTCCTTCTGTAAGGTTCTCTTCTCTCTCCACAGAAGAACGCTGGAGCTCAGACAGAGTGAGCATCGGGTTGTTGATCACCTCCCTGACTAAGTCTCTTCTCCCCTGATCACTCAGCTGAGATGGCCGGCCAGCTCTAGGAAGAGTCCTGGTGGTTAAACATCTTCCACTTACAGATGATGGAGGCCGCTGTGCTCAGTGGAACTTTCAGAGCAGCAGAAATGTTTCTGTTACCTTCCCCAGCCTTGTGTCTCGGAGGTCTACAGACAATTCCCTTTTCTTCATGCTTGGTTTGTGCTTTGACATGCACTGTCAACCCTGGGCCCTTATGTAGACAGGTGTACGCCTTTTCAGATCATGTCCAATCAGCTGAATTGAGCACAGGTGAACTCCAATGAAGCTGCTGAAACATCTCAAGAATGATCAGTGGAGACAGAATGTACTTGAGCTCAGTCTAGAGCTTCATGCCAAAGCCTGTGAATACTGATGTACATCTGATTTTTTAGCTTTTCTATTCTTAAATCTGCAACAATTTCAAAAACTCTTTTTACATTGTCATTATGGGGGGTTGTGTGTGGAATGTTGAGGAAATAAATGTTTAATGCATTTGGAATAAGGCTGTAACATAAAAAAATGTGGAAAAGTGAAGCGCTATCAATACTTTCTGGATGCACTGTAGCTAATAGTCTTACCATTTCTTTCAGGCTTGGATGTTTTATTTTCTTTCTTCTTTGTGTGTGAGTCAGGGCTTTCTGGGTAAGGAAAAGAGACACCACATGAGTAATATACACTTGCATACTAAAAATGTATAAATTTCTGAACTCTAACACCCAGTTTCACAGATAAGGAAGGCTAGTCCCAGACTAAAATGGATGTTTGAACTGTCTCAACAGAAAATATCCTGCACTGATGCATTTTAAAGGGGTGGTATATCATATTTTAAACTTTAGTTGATGTGTATTGTAGCTGTGTGAACAAACAATATCTCTGAATGTAAGAAAGTTCAATGCAAAGGGAGACATTTGCTTTTACAGAGTTAGATAAGGAAATACAAAAAAGACTAATACTAATATTAGTCTTGGCTTAAGCTAAGCCCTGTCTTTGAAACTGGGCTTGAAAGTCTTAGCCAGGGGTGTCCAAAAGTCGGTTCTGGAGGGCCGGTGTCCTGCTGACTTTAGCTCCAACTTTCTTCAATACACCTGCTAGGAAGTTTTTAGCATACCTAGTAAGAGATTGATTAGCTGCTTTAGGTGTGTTTGATTAGGGTTAGAACTAAATTTTCCAAGACACCGGCCCTTCAGAACAGAGTTTGGACATCACTGGTCTAAGCAGTATATAATCAAACTGCAAACCATCTGGGTTGGAATCATACGCCTCCTCATGCTCACGTCTACATTTCAGGCTTCTGGAGAACTCTGTAACACAGGAAAATTAACATCAGATTAATACAGCATACACAATGTACTTTGTGCATTCATATATACATATACTGTTTAATAAATTGCTATAAATCAACATGGTATTATCCATGATATTTTTTAAACAAACATTATATATATCATATGAGATAACTTGCATACCATCATGTTCTTGTCTAGGAGACATCTCCTCTGAAGTGTACCCCTGCTTAGGTTTATTGGACAAAGCAACTGTAAGGACAACACAAGAGACATTTTTAAACGTGAATTTGTAAAGAATATATTAGTTTTTCCAAGTAGTGTATATTGCTTCGACAAAAAAAAAAAAAAAAAAAAAAAAAAGTTATTACCCTCTAATTCAAGGTCAATCTCATCTAGAGATTTTCCTTTATAGAGAGATGTTCCACACTCTATGGCCATCAGCAGTTTGCTCATTTTTGCTAACTGAATAGTGTTTTCTGTTAGGCGATAATATTCACGATGAACGCGAATATCATGTCCCATGAATTTCGCTACCTGATCCAACTCATGATCCTTTAAGTTCATTATTTGACAAAGTGTCGCTATGTGCTTTCTCAGCTGAGTTGAGGTCAGCGTTTCTGGATGTTTTGCATCACAAAGATTGGCAAATTTTCGGAGACAGTCCGAACCTCTTATATGAGAATCTGATTTTGCTCTTGCAAAAACATATTTGTTGTTGTACAACACGCCATTCTCCTGCATCCTGTGCTCTATGAGAAAATCCAGTGCTCTTGTCATCTCTTTGGTAAGCAGCACTGGAACCTTTCGCCCTCTTTTCCCTCTTATCACGATTCTTGTAAAGTCATTACTCAGGTCACGTTCCAATTTTGAGAGGCACTGCATGACATCATCATTTAGGGCCTCTGTGTTTTTGTTTTCATATGTCTCAAGTAGCATTTTTGCTGCCTCACCTTGGCGTCTCCGGTTAAAAAGAATAATTTGTGAGAGGATGCTTTCACTTAGCATGGCGTATGCTTTGGGATCACAGCAGTCTTTCAGCTTCTCTCGGGCAGTTTGCTCCACAGACTTCAAGTATTTTTGAAGCAATATTACATCTTCAGTGAGGGGGATCATTTCCTTCTTGTTCCACTTGTTTTCTTCTAGGTTTGTCCTTGCCCGATGTGAGACATAGTGGTTCCACTCAGAGCTCACTAACCCTAGGAAGCTCCTGACTCTGTTTGCAGCTATCTCATTTTCTGCTTTTACGTAACGACCAATCAAGATATCACCAACTGTTTTTAAAGAGTGTCCAAGTTTTAGAGCAAGAGATGGACGATCATAGCGGTATTTAGATGCAGTGAAGCCAGATGCCTTTTTAGCAGCATCAACAGCTAACTTAAACATCGGTGGAATTAGGATATCCTCAAGATTTTTCACCTTCGCTTTTAGTTTCTTTGCAGCAATCACAAATCTCCCCAACTCTCTCATTTTCTGACTTACATAACCATCTTTAGATGGATCACTACCATGCTTCTCCAACAATCTGTCCCCATACTCACAAATAAGTGCATCTGATTTTACTTGAAGAGATACCTCATCATGCAACATTCTACTGATGATTTTACGACATCTTTTTGTTGTATTTTCTTGTACTGGCAGGAGACAAGAAGCTGCAGCTTGAACTCTTTTTCTTTTCCCAGATTCTTCCAGAGGGAGGCCAATTCGATTTTTGCAGGAAACCTCATGCTTCCAGAGGTCATGCTTTCTAAAAAATCCATAACAATAATTGCAGGGCAGGTACTCGTGTGGACTGGTTTCTTCCGTAGGTTGTCTGTAAGTCACTAACTCCCCTTGTCCCGACTCCAAGACGGTTGTATTGTGGGTATAGTCCCCTTTATATCGAAGCTGATCCAACAACAATCGTCGTTTCTTTGAATTTTTGGGCAAGCATACTGCCTTAGCAACATCTTCCTCTTTATTGTGCTTTCTCTCTAAGTGACGTGCTATCTTACTCTGAGGTTTTTTACAATAAATGCAGTAATGTCTTTTGTCCCATTTTCTTTTCGCTCCTTTCTGGCATGTCTTCACTGTTATTTTAGACTTGTCGTCTTCCTTCTGGTCATCTTCCTCACTTATGGCATGTTCCAAGTCAACAGCATCACCTTCAAGTTCAGCTTTCTTTCTACAGCGAGCATCTTTCAAAAATTTTTCCTCCATGCTGCACTCTTCACTGTCGGAGGAAGTTGAGGGCATATATTCACTTCCATGACTGCCTGACTGCGATTGATCAGTAGCACCAAGACTCTGTCAAAACATAGAAAGTGCAACTGCGTTTGAAACATCCAACCAAATCTGATGGAAACTTCATGAAAATTACAGTACTTTAACACTCACTAAACATTAACATTGTACTAAACTATCATTGTGTGTCAATTGGATATTAACACTTAGTTAATGAGTTAAGCTAATGGGCTCTCTTAACGATCAAGGCAGAAAGTCTAAACCGCATGGCGCAAATCATTAACGGTTTGTCTGAATCAACTTTTGGTATTTCAAGGATGAATAAATATGCTCTGCACCCCGGTACATGGTCTAACAGGGTTGTGCTCATTCTCTTAATGAGTTCTGGGGGAGTTGAGCATAACGTGCATTAAACGAATCAGAGTCTCCTCTCTCATTGCCTTTAAGAGTCAGTCGCGTCACTCCATGGTGCATTTGCTAGTTAAGCCTTTGAATGCAATTAAGCTGAATACTGGTATCTTGAAAATATCTAGTAAAATAAAATGTACTGTCATCATTTCAAATAACTGATTTTTTTTATCTTTGCTATAAGTTATTAAATATATCATGTTTAGAAATGGATTGAAATTAAACCTTTTTCCATTAAACAGAAATTGGAGGGAAAGGGTCGCTAATTCATGAGGGCTAACAATTCTGACTTTAACTGTATATATTCAGTTATTTTCCTCCCTGTAAATAATGAAAGCGAAATAAATACAATAGAATAAAAATATGAAACAAACTGTGCTTAGTTTTTTTTTTCTTACTGTGAAAATGCTTAAATTATAGCTCCAGCAGTCCTTCAGTCAAGAGCAGTGAGGGATTTTTCCCTTTTTGTTGTTTGATTAATAATAAAAACAGGCGGCAGCGGGAATATTGCGCGCGGTCACTTTCGTTATGGTTCAACCATAAATCTTGTTAGAAAACAAAATCTTACATCTGGGAATATTTTGGATTTATGCCGACCGAGAAAGGTGAACCAATTAATTTAGATTAAGCTTTTTGTAGGTTTTTTTAAAGTGTGGTTTAATATTCACTGCTGAGAGTCCAAACACTGAAGAGCAAATCCATCGATGTGCAGCTCCACGGGTCCCGATCCATGCAACCTAGTGGCGATTGACGGCGAGGGGAAAAAAAAGCCGCCTATAATCAACTCCTGATTTATAAACACAAAAGCCCAGCTAGTCAGCCAGATATCACAGAGGCATTTCCAGAAATGGCCAGGTACAATAGAGAAAGTGATAAATGGAAGACATTGATGAGAAATGGAGCAACATATTTAGTAAGTTAAGAATGCGCCGCTTCGCGGTGTAGAGAAACCTGCTTTCCGAGAAATGCGGGAGGCGGAACAGAAGCAAGAAACAGCATCTGTGCATTTGCGCTACAAGCACACCGTCTGAAGGTGTATTGCTGGAGAAAAATTATAACCCCAATTAGGTCTTCACTTAAACCGGACACAGTCAACATGTTAGTTTTTCTAGTTTTTCATAGGTGGAGAACCTATGCTGTTTTTTTAAACATCTGACTTGTTACTAGTAGGCTAATATTTTTGTACTTATAATTATTACCATTTATATTATTACTGATTAGTAAAGTGCCATTTATGCTATTTGTGAAGAAGTTCTTAAAAATGTAACGTTTAAATTATTATTATACGGTTTTAATCAGTTAAAGTTATTTAATATTTAGCTACAATATTTATAAGCAGTATTGTGTTGTTTTATTAACAAAAGTTAAGAAATAAACACGTACGTTTATACAGATGTTTTAATTAATATTTAGGGCACAAGTCATTCCTTAATTTTTTACATAAAAAGGTAAATTAACTAATGTAGGCCACTTCATTTCCTGGTGGTACTGGAGAAAAATGTTTGCCAGTGATTAATGTTCTCTCCACTAAACAAGAACTGCGTTGTATGATAAACGCCTTCAAATGCAGTGTACGATCTTTTCTGAAAAACAGAATCCATGCCATCTCCCCAGCCAGGTTTTCATCTGTTTTTCTCTCTTCTTGCTACAAACAATAAAGTATAATTGACCAGGGGTTTAAATTATATTTTACTCCTTATTTCTTTCTGTTTTATTTCAAAACACAAATGTTGAAAGTTTTGTATTGCATATTTTTAAAACATTATCATTCAGCCTACATGCAGCGCAAATGAGAGGTTGATGCGGCAAATCCCCTTTACTCATGCATTTTACCCAGTTAATTTATGACACTAAACTTGACTTTACAGGCTGATCATCTTTAAACTCAAAAAGTATTTAAGTGTCTTAACATGAGACTGCTGCTGGGATGTTTCTTATTACAACTGTTAGCGATGTCAAAAGGAAAGCAAACATTAAAAAGGGTTTTGCGTTTTATCAATTGTAAAGTTTAGTTTTAATAATGAAAATAAATTATAATATTATAGTGTTGACTACTGTGCATTGTCCAACAAAACATTTTTATTAGGTTACTCTAGACCTAATCCCTAATTAAAAAACGTGTGAAAATGCAGTTGAGTCTCTGCTAAAATTAAAGACAAATTTCTTTTGCGTTTTTTTCCCCTAGTCCCAGTTGGATTACATACTAGTCAAAACTGAACAGTTGATATCTTAATGACAAATCCCATAGAAATCAATAGAATTTTTTTTAGTTTGTTACTAATAACAGAAAAGTTGCTAGTCACTATTAAAATTAGTACTAGTATCTAATAAATAAAAACTATACATTTAATAAGCGCTATTTAATGAATAAGTACTTGTATCTAATAAATAAAAACTATACAAGTACGATCTAATGAATAAGTAGTATAATAAAATAAACTAGTGTCTAATGAGTAAGCACTAGTATATTTTAAAAAAGCACTAGTATTTAATTTAAGTTATGCATTTTTTTCTCTCTTTGGATTCCCTGTGACTGAAACATACCGCTAAATGGAGTTCACCACGTGGTCACATTCTGTGGAGGCGTCGAAAGCCTGACTGACAGTGTAGCACAATGTTGTGTCTTTCGAAGTTTGAGTCGAAGTGTGCTGTTAAGCTTAGCAGGGACATTGGACAGGCGGCTGCACTCCATATAAAATCACAGGTTGATCGTAGAGGCAAATGAATTCCATAATTCTGAACGCGATGCGTTTCCACCTCGTACTATCCCTGGTGTATGGTTTACGTCTTGCATCACTCACAGTTGGCTGGTTGAGGGATTCTCATACGCGGCATATTTAGTTGTATGTTCTAAGATGCCTAATCATGTTAGTGCTGGTAAAATGTCATTGCTCATTTAAGGGGTTTCATCGCGACATACATTGCAAACGGCTAACTTTGTCTATATTGGACACTTTGAAAAAGACGGGGGAACGCATGTTGCAACTCGTAAGCTCCTCTCTGCTGTTGTTTACCTGTGCGCCGTGCATGCAAGCGTGAAAAAGTCGTGCGAGTAATTTACGTCAAGTGATCGGCTTTTTAGATCAGCGCTTTCGGGGTTAGCCGATCAAGCTATTTTTAGTCAATATCGGAGCATCACTATTGTTAACAAAGATGTTTTTGAACCACATAGTAAAGTGTATAATGTGTATAACCCTTATTGAACAATAATTGCTACCAAAGTTAATGAATTCTACCAAATACTGTAGCAGTAAACTGATAAACTGCAATACTGTTTGTGTAAACTGTGGTGCATTGTGCAGTGTATATTTATAACGTAGAGAAGTGAAGACTCTTAAATAATTGGTTTATTACTACAGTTGTCATACCATAGCAACAATTACTAGGACACAGGATTTCTGCAGACATTAGTCAAATTTAAGACTTAAGACCTTTTTAAGACAGATAAGTATTAAATTTAAAAGACCTATAAAAAAAAAAAAATTAAAAAAAAATCTAAATTAGTAAAATAAATGTATTCAAGTTGAACAGTACTAAAAACAGGTTAGATGCACCATTAAAAAAAAATCTTAAGGCTAATTTATACTTTTGCCTGGTGCCACATCGCGCACCTTACAAAACGAATTAGGCTTTTATACTCGACACGTTTACCATTGAGAATCTTTTAAATGACAGGGGGCTGTCAAAAGACAGTAAAAGAGTTTAACCATTTAAGAATTTTTTTTTATCAGATTTTTTTATCTAAATGATGCATTACTTGCTTTTGTTCATCTCGGACAGTTCTACCTCTTAAAGTAAAAATTAAAAAATGGCAACAGAACTTGAGTTGCTCTACAATTTGATTTTTTTTTATTACAGCAGAAATAAAAGCAAAAAAGTACACGCACTAAAAATACTGACTCTTTTACATTTTATTTAGCTCACTTAATTCACATTCTAGTAGATTCTGTCCTCTACTTATAAGCTAAAAAGGCAATAATGGTCCAACATTGCTGACCATCATCACCAATAATGCCTAGAAATTGGGAATCAATATATTGTGAACTGACGGTCCATATCTTTTTTCCAGCTACAGTTGAAGTTAGAATTATTAGCCCCCCCCCTGTTAATTTTTTCCTCAATTTCTGTTTAAAGAACAGATTTTTCTTCAACACATTACTGCTCATAATAGTTTTAACTGATTTATTTGATCTTTGTCATGATGACAGTAAATAATATTAGACTAGATATTCTTCAAGACACTTTTATACAGCTTAAAGTCACATTTAAAGGCTTCACTAGGGTAATTAGGGTAACTAGGCAGGTTAGGGTAATTAGGCAAGATATTGTATAATGATGGTTTGTTCTGGAGACTATAGGAAAATATATTGCTTAAGGGGGCTAATATCGACCTTAAAAGCTTTTTTACTCTCCAGAAAAAAAAATTCAGACAGTGAAAATTTACTTGCTCTTAATCATCATTTAGGAAATATTTAACTAACATTTTAAATAGGGGGGAATAATTCTGATTTCAACTGTATCGAAGACATAATGTTACTTAATTTTAGTTTGTAACTTGTAAATTGTGTATATTACAATTTTGAATTTAATACAGTGTAAAACCTATGACTGGCGGAAAAAACATTCTGTAATATTAAACCCACCTGGGTCTTCACTTTTGCATTTTTTTTTATTTTTATAAAAATACACTTTCCTTTAAGACTCCTATTCAGTTTTTACTTCCTGCTCTCCATCTGAATTTCGGGCATCACCAGAAACACATAATTAAAAACAACCTATAGCAATGTGCCAATAAAGCACCTTAACACAGCCCCATTTTACACTGAAACACCCATGAGTCCACAAAGTGGCACAAATAGGTTTGCTATTTAACAACATATCGTAAAACAGAAAAATTTGAGTTGTGCTGGTCTAAAAACAGCAACACATTGTGGCAAACATGTCTTGCGCCAGGAGTATGATAGGACCCATAAAGTTAGAGTTAATCAGTTACCTGCTCGTCATGATTATCTCTCTCAGCCTGGCCAGGGTGGTGATGCTCTTTCTGTCTCTTTCTGTCTTGAGCTTTCTCTGAGATCTGTGTGAATATGTAGTGTTAGACACTCAACAACAATCATATGTGGTCCATTACCCATCATTAACACTCAGTTAATCAGTTACCTGCTCGTCATGATTATCTCTCTCAGCCTGGCCAGAGTGGTGATGCTCTTTCACTCTCTTTCGGTCTTGAGCTTTCTCTGACACCTGTGTGAATATGTAGTGTTAGACACTCAACAACAATCATATGGGGTCCATTACCCATCATTAGAGCTGCAGGATTCTGGCTAAAATGAGAATCGCGATTTTTTTTTTTGCTTAAAATAAAGATCACGATTTTCTCACGATTCTGTAGATGTAAAATAAAGGTTAATATGAGTCGGCAATTATTATTGTTTCTCAAACTTATGGTATAACATAGGGATGCACCGATCCCGATATTTGGATCGGAAATCGGTTCGATACCGCATATTTTTGCTGGATCGGGTATCAGTCAGCTGGTACCGATCCAAATCCGATCTTGCGCGTGCGCTATATTGTGTGTTTATAAGCCAACTAAGCCATGAAGGTAGCCTATTATAAGCCACTAGAACGTTGTTATGTAGGCTACTATATTCTAAGTATTTTAAAACCATTCTACAGTTTAATGTGAAGCACAGATGAATATTCACGTGGTTAAATTCATGTTCAGTTCAGCGCTTCCTGCGGCTGCGCCTGTCATTCATTCTCCATTCAAACTGCTTGTCGCATTTAAGACAACAGGAAAAACTCTCCAAGACTATGTTCCTGCTAGTTTAAATAATTAGTGGAGAAATATATTTAGTTTTGCATTAAATGGGTTCATTTTGACCTGCAGCAGGAGTTCATTTCATTGCTGTTTCTACATCATGTTGCGCTGTATCAGATGGCATTCGCAATGGAGGAGTAGAGAGGGTTATCCTGCTCTTCACCCCCAAAGTAGGCCTACCTGAAATGTTTAATTAGAAAAGCCTCAATAATACATTGGACAGATCCTCAATGCGCTTATTTCTTCCATTTAAGCTGCTGTTTTACAAATGTCTGCAGATACCAGTCTACGATGCATCAAGCACTTTCATTCACATGCCGGCTGCATGCACAGAGGCGTTGTGCTCTGCTCCGTAAGATTATTCATTCTCATAAGTTTGTTCTCCAATCCTCCAGACTGAGTTTCTTCCAAAATGAATCATTTAAGTGCTGCGAATAGTTTTAAAGCCTGGCCCATTGTGGTCAAAGTATTGATTAAATTAATACGAGTGAAACTGACGAGCGCAGTATAGATTGACATTAACAGAAAATTATTTAGCCTAATATAAGCTACTTTGAAATTGAATACTTCACTGTAATTTTATATATTAATATTTTATTTATCAGAGCAATTTGTGTTGACACTGAAGCATAAGCGGACCTTGTTTTGAACTTTCTCCGTCTCACTCACGGTGAGATTTGAGAAGGAATTATTAAACTGGCATCAGACGGTTAAGTGTAGTCTGCATCAGACCTGCAGGAAAATATAAGTCTTTAATTTAATACAGTTAATGCATTTAATAACAGGCTGATTATTTTACCCACGAAGTCAATTGTAGCCTATTGCAGATTTCAAAGAAAAAAATTTATTTTAAAAAGTAAAGAACAAAAATCACAATGAATGCGCAAAGAATGCTCAAACAGCAAGCATGTTTCAGTTCGATTGTGCCGTCTGTCATGTATAGCCTACCTAGGTCTGTTATTATTTTTACTAAAGAAAATATATATTTTGAGTTTAGCACCAGAGCTATAGAAACTGCTCATTTCGGTTAATTTTGCCAACAGACTACCGCCGCTCGTTAAGCGAAATGTTAACCATTAACAGATTAATATTAAAATATTATTTAATTTAAAAAAAATGACGTGCCTATTTTGTGACGCATTAAATATTGCATTTTATTTTAGCATGCGAACAGCATACAGAACCTAACAGAGCATCTTCACGCACCTGCGCTTCAGCAGCAAAACAAAATCAAATAAATCCTGACATTACTGAAATGACAAATTTATATTACAAACGAAAACACTGACCGAATCCTTTTTAACAACCGGCATGTGCTGTTTGTCCAATTATGTTTTTTTCTTTCTTTAAATAAAAATAGGCTACCTCAAATAGATTGACTCCATCCACAGAAAATATGCATTTAATTAATGCTCTGCTATTTTAAATGACAAAACCTCTGTAAACATTTTTAACATAAGTCATTAGTTTAAAGATTATGTCTCAATTATGATTATGACTTATTTCCTCTGTCTCAGCTGGCGCTTCACGTGTGCGCGGGCTGCCTGTATTGATAGACAATGAGAATGAACCTTAGGGCTCTGTTGACTTTTTGTTAAGTATTGGCTACAACATAGCATATAAAAATGTAGTCGTTTACATATGATATTGCATTAATTTGCATACATGTTTTTTAAGCTGTAAAATGAAAGCCTCAGTTTAGTCCGAAGTTCATATGCAAACATTAATAAAAAACTTTGGATTTGTTTGATTGATAGATTAGGCTATGTAGGCTACTTACATTTTTTTTATTATACAAGAACTATTAATAACTATAATTTTTCAAATGGAAAAAACGGTTGGTTTGTTGGTTGAACACTAAATCATCGTATTTATTATATGACGCGGCTTCAGGCAGCACAGAGGCAAGGAGGCACAGAGTCAGCTCGTCAGTCAAACTGTGACCAGAAATATCCTTATTTTATTTTGCTTCTTTGACAAAAAAAAAATCTAGGCACGTGTGGTTGCACGCGCTTTTCCATTCCAAAAACGGAGGCGCGCCGCACTGATTTATTGATGACAAGAAAAAAAAAAAAAAAAAAAAAAAAAAAGTGGGGTGCTCCTGTTTATGCCACTAGGAAACGACTGAATCAGCTGAGCCGTGTGTGCGCGAGTGTTCCTGTCAATGTTGTTATAATTGTAATTTTTAATAGCATTATGATATTCAAGATTTAATACAGCTTTAAATGACTTGAAACAGCGAAGTCTCTCCTCCGTCATTAAATGCTCACTGTAGTCGTCTTGACAACACAAGCACTGCTGTCACCTCAAAGAAAACCCAGCCTCTGCTTTCATTTGATTGAAGACTGAAAAAGACACGACTGAGGTAACAAGCTTTTTCAACCTCTGAAACGGCAAAACGTTACTAGCCTAAACCATTCAGAAGATGCACCTGTCAGTCTCAACGCAAAAAAGCGCGTTCGCTATGATCAGCCCCTTATGCAGCCAAACTTAAAAAAAAAAAATAATAATAATAATAATATTGTTTAATCATTTAACTGACACCATTAAACGGTTACAAACACACCCTTTTGATTAAGTTAATCGGTTATTTTGAGCAACCTTACTTGGGGGGAAAAAAAACGGCACAGTATCAGATCGGTATCGATCGATACTCAGACTTTTTGTATCGAGATCGGATCCAAAAAAAAAAGGTATCTGTGCATCCCTAGTATAACAACAACAACAATATTAATATTATGTGTAGATCTACTGGTTTCTATAAATAATTATATTCTACTTATAATAATTCTAATGTTGAATTATGTTTGAGATAAAGGCCTATGCTTGCAATCTGTCATTGAGAACATTATTAGACCATTAAATTCACAGGTAAAAATCAACATATAGGGGTTGAATCGAGATCGCCATCTTTATACGATTAATTGTGCAGCTCTACCCATCATTAACACTCAGTTAATCATTTACCTGCTCGTTATCATCATCTCTCTCAGCCTGGCCAGGGTGGTGATGCTCTTTCACTCTCTTTCGGTCTTGAGCTTTCTCTGACACCTGTGTGAATATGTAGTGTTAGACACTCAACAACAATCATATGGTGTCCATTACGTATCATTAAAGGTGCAGTAGGTGATCTTCCACAATGCTAACAGTTTAGCATAAATCTCTGAATCACCTCCTGAAACACGAGCACAGCAAAACAACCTTCTCTCATGTGTTAGAGACTAGTGCTTGTCCGGCGGTGAGCAAGCCAAACAGACATGCGATTTCAGAGTAAATATTGGAGTTGCATGGTAAACAATATAGAAAGAGACTAGGTGGAATAGCGCTATTTTATTGCGTTTTGTTGTTAAACTAATTAAAATCAACATTATAGATGCTGTAAAAGGTCCCTTATGAAACTGAAAATAGTCTTATCAATCTTTCACCGGAAGATTTTAGTGGCTGAACAACACTTCTGTGAAGATATAACCCATTTGTAACAACAACATCTAACGTTACATCAGCTTTGCATGAAGCTAAAACGGTTTTAAAACAGAACATTACCTGTCTAAGAGAAATCCTTAAGCCATTGTTTCATCATTTCTCCAGCGTGTAAAAGGTAACTCCAATATTGATTCAGGTTTTAAAAAGAGTTTTGATTCAGCAGGTTAACCGATCTCGCTCACGCCCTCTCCCGTGACTGCGCAGCACAAACAGCGGTCGGCGGAGATGCGTACAAAAGGCTGCGCAGTTAATCAAATTTGCATTTGCTGACAGACAGTTTGGACTACTTATCGGAATTATGAGAGACGTCGGTCCGACTCTATTTAATTGGATGAACATCTTTTAGTTTTATGCCTTACCCAAAATATAAAAATACATAAACACATTTAGATAATTTACTTTCAGTACTATTGGACTGTGAAGAGATTTTCAATCAGCCCAACAAAAAAATGCTTCTGAAGACAATTACCTACTGCACCTTTAATACTGCAAATCAGTTACCTGCTCGTTATCATCCTCTCTCTCAGCCTGGCCAGGGTGGTGATGCTCTCTCAATCTCATTCTGTCTTGAGCTTTCTCTGATATCTGTGTGAATATAGTGTTAGACACTCAACAATCATTTAAGTTTAAACTTGAACTCGAGTTTTTAATCTCTCTGTAATTCAACTAAGAGTTTTCAGTTTCAGAACAGCTTATCCGAGTTCGGTCAACCAACTTTGAGTAGACCAAATCAGAGTTAAGCGTGCTAGAAAACTAGAAAAAGGCATTATTAATGGAGCAAAGAAATGAGTCACCATGGCAACATCTGAAAAGAAGAAAAAAAAGAAAAAGAAAAAAGAAAAAAAAAAGGGATCAGTATTTCTGTCTCCAGCTGAACTTGATGTGCTCATGCAGAGATATAGCAAATATGAGCATATATTTAAAAGAGCAACACCACTGCATCAGTGAAATAGACAGTTAGCGTGGGAAAATAGCTGCTTAAGTTAATCCATAATTTTACAAGTAATTATTCATTCTCTCAGTTATTTTCTTGTCAGTTTAGTCCCTTTATTATATGGGGGTCGCCACAGCGGAATGAACCACCAACGTATACAGCACGTTTTTACGCAGGAGATGCCCTTCCAACCGCAACCCATCACTGGGAATAGGGATGCTCAAAATAATCGAATCACTGTTAACCGAAAAAGTGTGTTTGTAACCGATTAATGGTTTCAGTTAAACGATTAAAAATATTATTTTGTATATTTTTAGTTTGGCTGCATAAGGGGCCGATTGAATGCACTTTTTGCTTTAAGAGAGGCATCTTTTTACTAATAGTTTACTAAAAGCCGCAAGTGTTTTGCACGCGGCTCAACCCAGAGCAGCAGTTTGTGTTCTCAAGACAACTACAGAGAACTTTTAAAGAGCATGGTTTCCGCTACATTCCTTCTTCTATGGCGAGGACCAAAATGCATCCCGCCACGGCTATTACCCATTCAAAACGTTTAGTTAATGTTGTTTTTAATAGCGGATTATAATTGCACCAAAACATATTAAAAGGTAAGTGAATTATAACAGCGCAAACTTTTCTGTAATCGTAGTAGTGCTGTGCGCTAGGCTATTTGTTAAACCCTTTGAGGTTACGTGCTGACCGACTGACTGACAGGTGCGTGATGCGTGAGGCCAGCAAACACGACGTGCCTTTCAGTTAAGATGAACACAGTTTCCATAATTATACTTTATTTATAGAAAAAGCTATATGGCTCTGCATAATCACTTTATCTTGCTGGAGTTTACAGCCATTTCACTTTACTTTAGGATGCATTAATACCGATCTGTAGATCTAATTGGACAAAACAAATAGGCTTTACCTTTTATTTTACAGCCTATAAAGCATTAATGGAATGTCATATTTAAACAACAAAACTGTTTACAAAAAAAGTCAACATATGCGCACGTTGTCATGTCTTTATCATGCAGTGTGCGCACTTGAACCGCGCGAGAGAGAGAGAGAGAGAGAGCCATATAGCAAGACATAGGCTAATCTTTAACATAATGATTTCTATTAAAAACGTTAAAGGTTTTGTGACATAATAACAGCGCGGCGTTAAATAAATGCATATTTTCCGTGGAGCGAGCAATTTGAGAAAATTTGCTTTTTATACATGAAGACAAAAACATGATTAAAAAAAACAGCCTGTGCCGGATCTTAAAGATTCAGTCCCTGTTTTCGTTTTTGTAATATAAATTAATAATTTAAGTGGGAAATAATTCCAGGGCAGGCCTATTTATTTCATTCATTTTATGTAGTTTATTCTGTTCTTCTGTGCTATGGAAACCCTGCAGGTGCGTAAAGATGCTCTGTTATGTTTTGTTATTAATATGCTAGCATATAAATCAGTATTTTAAAATGCAATATTTAATGTGTCAGACACAAAATAGACACGTTAATTTGTAAAAAAAAAAAAAAAAAAAAAAAAAGTATAATAATCTAACCAGTTAACCGTTAATAACCGATTAACTAGAGACGGTTGTCGGTAAGCAAAATTAACCGAAATGAGCATCCCTAACTGGGAAACATCCACACACACACTACAGAAAATTTAGCCTACCCAATTCACTTGTACCGCATGTCATTGGACTGTGGGGGGAAACCGGAGCACCCGGAGGAAACCCACGCGAACGCAGGGAGAACATGAAAACTCCACACAGAAACGCCAACGGAGCCTAGGATCAAACCAGCGACCTTCTTGCTGTGAGGCGACAGCACTACCTACTCCGCCACTGCTTCGCCCCTCAAAAGTAATTAAATAAAGTATAAAGTAAGTATAATAAAAGTAATGTTATGCGTGACGTTTATAAAAATTTCACACGTTCCCACTTTTATACACGTTGATCAGTTTTAATAGATTTAAAAAGTGCACTTGTGTGTCAGTCTCTATTATTGATCAAATGGTAGAGTTTGATATGACATTTAGAAATGCAAGCAGAACTAAATAATAGTTTTAGAAAGAAAATCTATTAATCTAGTAAGTACATGTCAAAGGACAGTGAATTTAAGCGAATTATTTATTTAAAAAAAAAAAAAAAAAAAAGAGCTATTCTCATACGCGACTTTGTTCTTTGTAACTGAAATGTAGGCAATAGTTATTTTTCCATTTAAAAATATTCATTAAATTTGTGCAAAACTGGAATAACGCATAAGACATGCAAATAAAGCAACGTTTCCATCCAGTGAATCAAACAACATCACTTCCTGATTAACTGGCGCCAAATATCAACAATAAAAAAAGAATTTACTGTGGTAGAAATAGCTGTGTCAAGTATTTGACGTACCCTGCTTTCTCCAGTTTGACAAAGCTGCCATTTTGAAACTGAAAACCCAGAGTGTCTCTTATTTCAGGGTTAAAAATACTCAGTTTTCATTTAACCTCCTTTCTGAAACAGGTCCATTTACATTAGGGTTGGGTATTGTTTTTTTTTCGATTCCGGTGCTAAATCAATACTTTTAAAATGATACCGGTGCCAAAACGGTGCCTGAACCTATACTTTTTAGCCACAAAATGATGATGGACGACTCTACAAAATTCTTATTTGACAATTAAAAAAAATAAATTAACAGAACAATATAATTGAAGTTTAAAGTAAACATATTTAAATTGCATTAATATATTTCCTTTGATCATTTGTTGGTAAGCTTGAATTTAAGATTTGTATTAAGAAATTCCATTAGCTTACTATTAACCTGTGAGAGGCGGGCAGGGGCCACTTTTACTTTTAGGAGCACACTTTAACATGTATATCACAAAATACTTAAAACATTATTCGAAGTGTTTTGGAAGGAAGACAAGTAGGAATCATTAATAAGTGTGTGTGTATTATAAAGGAGTCATACTCTTCAATCCAGTTTTAAGAAGTGTTCCATCCAAATCATGTGCATAAGTTTGTAGAAGTTATACATTAAAAATACCCTTAAATATAAATTTTAGTACTGCTTCAGTTAACTTGAACAAGTATATTAAAATCTATTTTATTTCCCCTAGTTGTATTAGTATTTTTTTTCCAAGTGTGCTTTAAATGCTTAAAAATAGATTAAATCTTTGTAGACTAGAAATATATGTACTGTATATTATTTATTTAAAAACTGTGGGCAATACATTGTAGATTAATTTATTGAACAAATGTTATATCAATCTTATTTTTTTATTCAACTATGGGGTGCGGCTATAGGGGGCCTACAAGACATTGTGCCCAGGGGCCTTTGAATTATTAATCCGGGCCTGGTGATGGGAAATTCAGATTTCTAACGCAGCTGTCAGGACTCAACATGATGTAGTCAGCAATAGTCATTTCAGTAAATTAAAACATCACCATGATCTGAAAAATGTCTTGCAGTAAAGTTTTACAGCCCAACTGAAGCATGATTCACTTATTTAAACTCCATTACGATTGTCTGTTATGAAATAAACTTACGTTTTTGACCAGATCCTCTAATTAAGCCCTCGGTTTACCCGCGCTACAGTTGTTCAAAGTTCAGTGCAGTCATGCATCAGACTGTACGGTTTATGTTTGGTACGTTATGTATGTTTGGTACGTTATGTTTGGTTACGTTCACACCAGAAGCGGAACACGCGTCAAGCGCAAGTGATTTACATGTTAAGGCAATGCAAACGCGCGAATAGACATCCTGCGGCACGAAAGAAGCGAATTGCGCGGTGCGAATGGCGCGATACACGCGAATGGCGCGGCACAAATAAAGCGTTTTGCGTGTTTGACACGCGTTTCGGGCAAATCTCGAGTTTGAAAATCTGAACTTCAGCGGACATTCGCGCCGCGTTAACCAATCAGGAGCTGTTCTTGTAGGGGCCTGGATGTGACGCATCACTTGTTGTCGGTGTCCCAGGGGAAATCCTCCAGCCGACACAGACAACAGTTCATCAAACTAGGCTTGGGTCTGTCAGAAGCGCCGCTGAAAGCCTCCGTCATCCAGGTTTAGTTTCTGGAGGAGTTTATAAGCTCACAGGGCTGGATGCACCTCTAAAAGGATGTAGTGGACTCAGACACGGCCCTAAACGTATCGACGCTGTTTTACAGCCTTCATAAAGCACAAACACTGTTATTTTCTTCATAAAATCCATGTTAGCCATTTAGCTATGAAGCTAGAGTCAAGGGGCAGACAGAAGCCCTGCCCATCACGCCAATCCGCGTCTGTTTCTGAAGTGAATTTGACACGCGAATGAAGCAGGTTTGATGCGCGAATGAAGCGAGTAAACTCAAATGTTCACGTGGCAATTTACGCGCGAATAACGTGATTTATCCGCGCGTTCCGCGTTTGGTGTGAACACAGCATTAGACTTGTTATAAAAGTAAGTAGTTGGTGGATAAGTGCTTACTGGAGACATGAATAGTTTTAAAAAAAATTTACTTCTAAAAATGCTTACAGTAAGATTATGTATTAAATACATTTACAAATACGAAAACAGAGGTTTTTGCAATAATTCTAGTTAGTTTTGTATGTACACAATACAGTTTCAGTTAGTTCTAGTTTAAAAAATAAATAAATAAAAAAACTCGTTTTTATTTCAGTTACCGACAATTATTTTACATTTTAGTTTTCGTTTTATCGTTCGTTTTCGTTAACTATAATAAACCTTGGTTTAGTGATGGTGTGAGACAACGCCTATGTGTGCCTTTCATGCACCCCTTTGATTCTTACGTTCTTATTGCAGCACCGAAATTCATATGCCGATTTGATCCGGTACATACCGGTTACCAAGGTACCGGTGCTATAATGACACTGAGTTTCAGTACCCAACCCTAATTAACACTCAGTTAATCAGTTACCTGCTCGTTATCATAATCATCCTCTCTCTCAGCCTGGCCAGGGTGGTGATGCTCTTTCAATCTCTTTCTGTCTTGAGCTTTCTCTGATATCTGTGTGAATATGTAGTGTTAGACACTCAATAACTAAGGCAAGCCATTTTAGCATTTAAACCTTTGTTCTGACTATCCATAAATATATTTAGAGATATCTCCATTTATATTTTGACTAGTCATAATTATAATTCGACTAGTCAAAATGACAATTAGAGATATCTGCAATTACAAATGTACTAGTACGAAATCAGATTGGAGATATCTGCAAATATATTATGACTAGTCATATTCCTCTATTGAAAAATATTTGCAGATATCTTAAATTGGATTCAAAACTCATTTAGAGATATCTACAACTGTAATTCGACTAGTAGTAAATTAATTAGAGATCTTCAAATATATTTGTAGATATATCTAAATATGACGAATTAAAGATATCTCTAAATGTATTATGACTAGATAAAACTCAGTTAGAGATATCTCTTATTACAATTGTTACTAGTCAATTCATTTAGAGATATTTGCAAATATTTTTCAATGGAAGAATATGACTAGTCATAATATATTTGCAGATATCTCCAATCTGATTTCGTACTAGTACAATTGTAATTGCAGATATCTCTAATTGTCATTCTGACTAGTCGAATTATAATTATGACTAGTCAAAATATAATTAGAGATATCTCTAAATATATTTGTGGATAGTCAGAACAAAGGTTTAAATGCTAAAATGGCCTGCCATAATTAACAATCATATGGTGTCCATTACCCATCATTAACACTCAGTTAATTAGTTACCTGCTCGTTATCATCATCATCATCTCTCTCAGCCTGGCCAGGGTGGTGATGCTCTTTCACTCTCTTTCGGTCTTGAGCTTTCTCTGACACCTGTGTGAATATGTAGTGTTAGACACTCAACAACAATCATATGGGGTCCATTACCCATCATTAGAGCTGCAGGATTCTGGCTAAAATGAGAATCGCGATTTTTTTTTTGCTTAAAATAAAGATCACGATTTTCTCACGATTCTGTAGATGTAAAATAAAGGTTAATATGAGTCGGCAATTATTATTGTTTCTCAAACTTATGGTATAACAACAACAATATTAATATTATGTGTAGATCTACTGGTTTCTATAAATAATTATATTCTACTTATAATAATTCTAATGTTGAATTATGTTTGAGATAAAGGCCTATGCTTGCAATCTGTCATTGAGAACATTATTAGACCATTAAATTCACAGGTAAAAATCAACATATAGGGGTTGAATCGAGATCGCCATCTTTATACGATTAATTGTGCAGCTCTACCCATCATTAACACTCAGTTAATCATTTACCTGCTCGTTATCATCATCTCTCTCAGCCTGGCCAGGGTGGTGATGCTCTTTCACTCTCTTTCTGTCTTGAGCTTTCTCTGATATCTGTGTGAATATGTAGTGTTAGACACTCAACAACAATCATATGGTGTCCATTACCCATCATTAACACTCAGTTAATTAGTTACCTGCTCGTTATCATCATCATCTCTCTCAGCCTGGCCAGGGTGGTGATGCTCTTTCACTCTCTTTCTGTCTTGAGCTTTCTTTGATATCTGTAAGAAAGTGTAATTATTTGTTTTAGATTTGTTGAATCTGTTTCGGGATTTACATTAATATTTATTAAGCAGCAGGTTTATTAGGTTTTAATATGTTTAATTAACATCAGAAAATCAGTGGTGCATTAAACTACAACAATTTGTAACGTTACCTGCTTATTTCCAGAAGGGTTTTTCCCCATTATCTGTAAAACAAAACAATTACCTTTCAGCAAGATCACCACACATTATTTTTAAATTACAGTGGTATGAATATTGTTTTTAAATAGTGTCAACATGAATGCATTAAATATTACTAGTATCACAATAAATGACTTAAATGACATATTAATTTGTTTAATTCAAGATATTTTTGCTAACTGCTCCTACAAATTAGCTTAAATTAATTTAAAAACAGAGTAAGGCATCAACTTGATAACTTTGAAGTTTCATTGCACTTACTAATTTCACCACGATTATCATACCATAAATAGAAAATGTATCCATGTTACAGTTTCATAGAAAATCATAAAAAATACTTTTGCCGGGTTTTCACAGCCAGAGTCACCTTTATGCTGCAAAAACGACTCTAATAATCCATTAATCATCAAAATTGTTACCAAATTTCAGTAGTTTATTTGAAGCACGTGTAATGACCAACTAATGTTAATTAAGCTAATGCTAACGTTAGCTAAATGACAACGAGGAAGGCTGGGCCAGACTATAAAACACCTCAGACTTGTTAAACGTTAATTGAAATTAATTAGGACTCACCTGTGATATTGATGGATCTCTTTTCAGCTGTTTTTCCTCGTTGGCTTTGTCGTATCTTCGAGCGCATGTCTCGTGATGAGCTCTGAGCATTTGCAGCCTCCGTGACATGCGTTCACCTGCCATAATTCTGATTCCGCGATAATGATCGATTCTGATCCTGTCCCGCTCCCCTCCCCCACTTGCAACTCAGGCTCCCCTCCCCCACTCGCAAATCAAGCTCAGCACAGTCTTAATTGTAGCAATTTCTCAACAGACTTTTACTCGGGTTTAGCATTACCACGACTTTTGCACTTCATTTCACTAGGCTATATATTCATTAATTGGGTTAATATTGTTTTAGACTATTTGTTTTACATTATTTGTAAATAAATAATTCATCATTTCATAAATGCAGTTAAAATACTAAATAAATTAAGGTGTGCACAGTAGATAGAATACATTGGATGACATTGGATAAGATATAGGGATGTATTTACTAAAAGGGGTAAACATTTACTGATAAAGTGGTTTTAATATCTTTTTGATTAAGCACTTTATACGTGTTACACATTCACACACAGTATTGTACATACACAGCTAAAGCATAACATTATGACCACCTTCAATTTTACATGACTGTTTTACATTATTTGTAAATAAATAATTTATCATGCAGTTAAACAACAACTTAATTTAAGGTGTATACAGTAGATAGAATACATTGGATGATACGGAATGATGTAGGGTTGTACTAACTAAAAATGGAAAATATTTAATGATAAAGTGGTTTTAATATATTATTTTCTAATTAAACACATTACAAGTGTCACATCCACAATGTACAGTATGTACTATATGCATATACATTGTATGAGCATGACATTATTACCACCGGCCTAATATTGTCCCTTCTAGTGTTTGCTGATGCACTGTATGGGACATTCCACCGAATGGGTAACATTTGATTTTATAATTTCTTAAAATTACATTTATTTTTTCATATTTTTTCAACACTGTATTTAGCAACACACATTTTTACAACACTGTATCTAGCAACACACATATTTAACTGTTTGGAATGACTATTGGGCAATCTCAGGCACCTCTGCTTTATTTTTTACAAGGTTTCAAATTTTGGAAAATGATCTATTTTTCTCAGTCCTGTTACTAAAATCAAGTTACTTTTTGAAAGGGTGTTTTAAAAAAAATGTCAACTATTTTGTCTTCCACTCACAAAAGTGTTTATCTTTAAGAAATAGTTGGTAAAATGTTTGAAAAACTTATATTTGTTACAAAAAAATTCACTAAATGTACACAAGGTGTATTTTTAAAAAATGCAAAGACATTTTTAAATTTTACAGGAGACCCAAAGTGCAAAATAAAAAATTTTAAAGTCATGTAATTAAATCAACTATTGGATAAATGATGATGACAAAAAAAAGTCACTAATTAAAAAAAAAAAAATATATATATATATATATATAAAATAACAGGAATGAACACCCAGTAACAGGAATGAACATCCAGACACTGTGGATGTTCAGCTTGCTCTAGTGATAACTGTGGGCTGTGTGGAGGGATGTTTGAGGGCTTCTTTTCTGTCTTTGATGTTATGGTACATCTCTCTCCACTTTTTGCGGCGTCTGCACTTTTCTCTCTGAGGTCATTGATCAGTTTCTTGCTGCCTGACTCTAGGTCCTTCCTGTATCTCTCCGACTCATTCATTCACTTTTTTTTTTTCCAGCTTAGTCCCTTTATTAATTAAGGGTCGCAGAGGAATGAACCGCCAACTTATCCAGCATAACGTTTTATGCAGCGGATGCACTTCCAGCTGCAACCCAGCACTGGGAAACATCCATACACACTCATTCACACTCATACACTAAGGCCAATTTAGCTTCTTCAATTCCCCTCTAGCACATGTGTTTGGACTGTGGGGGAAACATGAGCACCCGGAGGAAACTTACGCCAACACGGGGAGAACATGCAAACTCCACACAGAAACACCAACTGACCCAGCCGGGGCTCAAACTAGTGACCTTCTTGTTGTGAGGTGATCATGCTACCCACTGCACTACCGTGACACCCTCTTTCAGATTCCTTCTCTGAATATTTCTCTCTTCTCTGCATCATGTTGTTTACAATAAAGTTGTTGCTTTTCTGCAGCACTTACAGGTGGATTGGCACTCTGCAAGTATATAATTCATACATATAATACATGTGATACACTTACCGGCCACTTTATTAGGTACATCTTACTAGTAACTGGTTGGATCCCCTTTTGCCTTCAGATCAGCCTTAATTCTTCATGGTGTAGATTCAAAAAGCTACTGGAAATATTCCTCAGAGATTTTGCTCCATATTGACATGATAGCATCACACAGTTGCTGCAGATTTGTCGGCTGCACATCCATGATGCCAATCTCCCGTTCCACCACATCCCAAAGCTGCTCTATTGGATTGAGCTCCGGTGACTGTGGAGGCCGTTTGACTACAGTGAACTCATCGTCATGTTCAAGAAACCAGTCTGAGATGATTGAGCTTTATGACATGCTGCGTTATCCTGCTGGAAGTAGCCATCAGAAGATGGAGACACTGTGCTCATAAAGGGATGGACATGGTCAGCAGCAATACTCAGGTAGGCTGTGGCGTTGATGCTCAATTGGTACTAATGGACCCAAAGAAAATCTCCCCCACACCATTACACCACCACCACCAGCCTGAACCGCTGATACAAGGCAGGATGATCCATGCTTTCATGTTGTTGAGGCCAAATTGTGAGCTGAGCATCTGAATGTGTCAGCAGAAATGGAGACTCATCAGAGCAGCAACGTTTCTCCAATCTTCTATTGTCCAGTTTTGGTGAGTCTGTGTGAATTGTAGCCTCAGTTTCCTGTTCTTAGCTGACAGGAGCGGCACCCGGTGTGCTCTTCTGCTGCTGTAGCCCATCCGCCTCAAGGTTGGACGTGTTGTGTGTTCAGAGATGCTCTTCTGCAGAGCTCGGTTGTAACGAGTGCTTATTTGAGTTACTGTTGCCTTTCTATCAGCTGGAACCAGTCTGGCCATTCTCCTCTGACCTCAACAAGACATTTGCGCCCACAGAACTGCCGCTCACTGGATATTTCCTCTTTGTCGGAGCATTCTCTGTAAACCCTAGAGATGGTTGTGCGTGAAAATCCCAGTAGATCAGCAGTTTCTGAAATACTCAGAGCAGCCTGTATGACAGCAACAACCATGCCACGTTCAAAGTCTCTTAAATCCCCTTTCTTCCCTATTCTGATGCTCGCTCTGAACTGCAGCAGATCCTCTTGACCATGTCTACATGCCTAAATGTAGTGAGCTGCTGCCATGTGATTGATGGAGTAGAAATTTGCGTTAACGAGCAGCTGGTCAAGTGTACCTAATAAAGTGGCCAGTGAGTGTATATTTACAATATAAGTAATAATAACTGAAACCTAAAAGATTCAAGTAAATCGTTTTAAATTAACAATGTTTTGCATTATTATATATGCAGCAGAGAATGCAACTCACTCCTGTTACTATTACTCAATCCTGTTATGGCTTATATGAGTAACGGGACTGGGTAACAAAAATTATTAAATTCATGTTAAATAGCCACATGGCACACATGCTAATAGCATGAGGATATGGAGCAAGTTTTAGTGGTTTAAAAATTAATAAATAACATCTAAAAATAATTTAAGTAACAGTTAAGATTATTTGTTTAATAGTAAATCATTAATTGGATATAAAACTGCATGTAAATGCAAAAAAAATATTTTTTCGAAGGATTTTACACACAATATATTCTGGCAAATTTTAGACGCAGGGAGTGGGGACTTGCAACAACTGCTCTTTTTTAGTGTTCTACATAGTTTTTAAAAATGATTTTAATTATTTATTCTAAATTTTGTAGTTTGTTACATTTGAAGACACTTTGATTATTACTAAAATGTATTTTAGAGTTATTTTCATGCATTTTTATACATTTAATATTCTAGGGAAATAAATGTTACCCATTCTGTGGAATGTCCCTTACATTCTGTCACCTTTCTATCAGAACCACATTAACTTCTTCAGCAGTCATGTGTGGGTCAGACGGCATGGGCCAGCTTCTACTCCCATGAGCATCAGAGCTTGGCTGCCTGTGACAAGCTCCGCTTCACAACTGTTCGCTCTTTGAACAGATTCCACTAGATGAGTGAACTGACCACTGCAGAAACACCTCACAAGAGCTGTAGTTTTGAAGATGCACTGACCCAGTCAACTTGCCATCACACTATGGCCCTTATTAAACTCACTCAAATCCTTACACTAGTGCATTTTGCTTTCCAACACATCAACTTTAAGGACAAAATGTCCTCTTCCTGCCTAATATATGCCACCTGCTAAAAGGTGCCTTGAGGAAGAGATGGTCAGTGTTGTTCACTTCACCTGTCTGTGGTCATACTGTGCTGGATCAGTGTGTACTTGGTATATCACAGCCAGTTAGCTTCAACACAACTAGCAGCCTAAACTAAGGCTCATGAGTAATGACCAGAGATGGTTGGGCCTTTGCTGTAGCTAACCTTTACCTGTAAAGCAGCTTGTCATTCATTTTAGAATTGCCTGAACTCTCAAGGACTTTAAATCGTCTCTTTTTCTTTCAAGTTGAGGACAGGGTTATCAACTGTGTTGCTATGAAATATGGGACAAAATTTGACTAGTGCAGCCATGCTAATTAGCATATGCATTCCATCATTCCATCATATTTACATTTACTGTTTAAAGGATACATTCTGTACTGTACATTATTAACAGAAATGAAGACTAAAAACTAAATCAATAAAGCCTTTTCAACACCACTGCTGCTTCAATCTGTGGAGCAACCAATAAACAAGACATTGGGAATAACGTACAGGACAAACCAGGCAAGCTCAACATATGGGATGTCCTGGCTAATACAGGGCGGCTGGCAACCTTAGTTGAGGACACGGCAACTCTACCAGTGTTTTATAATCACAATTATATATATATATATATATATATATATATATAAATTGTGATTTCCTATGTATTATATTACAGTTTTAGTGTTTTAGTTTTACTTTGTGAAATACTTTGATCAACCTTGGTTGTTTTTAAATAAGGTTGACATTGAGAGCTGACATCAAGCCTGACTGGAAGAGTGTTTGAATGCTTCAGTTTATCTTGCATTACTCTTCATTTATCTCACTGGGCACACTTCACTCTCACCCAGCAGTTTTGTACATCTTTCCTCCACACCACTTCTCTAGTGAACGGCTGTTCAGCACTAATGGTGTGCATGTACTCTATAAATCTATCTACTTTTTGTTATGTCAACCTGTAAAAGTATACAGTCTTTTTTGAGTGAACACTAGGAATGGCCAGCGCTTCAGAGCAGCTGACACAGAAGCAGCTCCTTCCCCCAAGCTCCAGCTCCCTCTTAAACAAATAACTGCTCATTAAAAGCAGTATTCTACTTTCACTACTCCTATAGTGCCTCTATTATATGTACTTTTATATATTTTATTTAAAAATGTATAACACTATCTCTACCTACAGCATGATGTATTTGCACAAGTGTAAATATAATCTGTTAATATGTAAATTCAACTGTAAAATATGGTTATGTACTGCTGGTGACTGATGGGCTAGGGTGAAAAAACATTTGATAAGTTGTAGATATTATGTATTTTCAGATGTTCAGTGAGGCTCAGGTAGAATGAGTGAAATTACATTCATAGATTCATGTTGAGATTAATGTTAATTAAGATCGAATTTAATTAATGATTAATATAAACTGATATATTAAAACATCTAAACTAAACGGCCAGTGAAATGAATCGAGTCAATGATTTCATCACAGAATCATTAGTTGGGTTGAATTGATTTGTTCGAACAACCGATGCTTTCTAGAATGAACTGACGTCTTTACGAACGCTTAATTGATTCACTGATTCACTCGCTAGAATCACTTACATTGATTCGTGAGAGTCATTTTAAACGAACCTTTGTTCACGAACAGGACGCGGCTTTGTAAAGAGAATTTAGAGAGTTTTTCTTTGACTTTACTGGAAACTACAGCGACGAAACAGCACAGACAGCCTATGGAATTATAACATCAGGCAAGGTAAGACACTAAACATTTCATTATTGTTGATAGAGATGTCGAGAGGTGCAGTTTTGTCCCGCGATTTCATGGCAATCATACAGGAGTGCTTTCCCTAATGGGCTAATGCTCGTATTTGAAACAAAAGGCTTTTCAAACACCCATGATATGAATTACATTAACTTTAACATTTTAAGCGTGTTATTATGGAGTCTTGATGAACAATTTTAATGGTGTATAATTTCATATGTAATTACATTAAAGCCAGCAGTAACTCAACCAAGGTTTGTAATGTAGTAAACGTGTAGTAACATGTTCATTGGCAAATTGACTTCAGTTGGTTAATTTTCGTGAGGTAGTATTACAAACATGACATTTCAGGTTGCCAACCGGTCTCATATAGTTTAGGTTAATCATGCTTGCAGACATTCGGCTCTCCTTCCCCCTCCACAGTGTAGCAATGTGACTGAAACGGCCAATCACAAAAATTCCCCAGCGAGGGAGCAGCCGTCCAATGAAAAAAATCCGCTCTCACTCTAGCTCCTCCTCCCGGGATTTTTGATGCAGTACACGTGTGTGACCGATGAGGGAGCTCGCGGTCATAAGGCAAAACACCAATTTTCAGTTTTACTATTGCTGTGAGGACTTTTGCTGAAATTTGCACAGT